CCTGAGGTACAGGTTTGGTCCCCATTTGGGGCACATACAAGAGGCAACTGATAGAGATTTCTCTCTCACATCGATGTTTCTCTCTCCCTCTATTTCTCTCTCCCTTCTCCTCTCTCTAAAAATGAATAAACAAAATATTTTTTTTAAGTGAACACTAGTGGAAAAGGGAATTCAAAGTTCACTTTGGAACATTTTAGTTCGAGATGCTATTAGGTATGTCAGAGGCAACATTGAGTAGGCAGAAAGAAACTTCGAAGTACCAAATTTAGAAAAATATCTAGGGCTGAAAAGATGAATTTAGGAGTTATAAATAAGTTTAGGAGTCATAAATATAAGCGTCAGACCATAAAACTGGAAATCAATTTTAAAAATGTTTAGAAAAAGAGGGTGTGATCAATTTATCAAATGCTCTTGAGAGGATCAGACTGACTGAAAATTGACCATTAGATTTAGACACATGAAGGTCAGTGGTCACCTTACCATAATGAATTCAGTGTTTTATTAGGATAAAAATCCTCAGAATTTTAATTAGGCATTTATTATTGAAGACCTGTTATAAATAGCAATCTTGCCAGCCAGACTGTATATTTCATGAAAGTAAGGATTGTCTCTCTTAGCCACTAATTTATTTCATTGTTTGACCCTGTGCCTAGCACATAATAAATACTCCACAAATATCTGTGGAATATTCTGTTCTATTCAGATTATTTTAAAGAAATTAACTGTCAGAAATTTCCTTGAGGTTGTTTTGGGATTTAGCAGTGATGACAATGAAATAGGAATGGGTCACTCACAAAGTCATTAAAGGACCACTCTTTCAGTCTGATATATATTGACTTTCTCAGTTTAAAATGTGTTTGTGCGCAATCCCTATTAAGATACCAATAACATATTTCACAGAAATAGGACAGACATTTCAGAAATTTATATGGAACCATAAATGACCCCAAATAGCCGTGGCAATTTTGAGAAAGAAAAACAAAGTAGGAGGGATTGCAATACCAGATATCAAACTCTACTACAAAGCCACTATACTCAAAACCATCTGGTACTGGCACAAGAACAGGCCCATGGACCAGTGGAACAGAATAGAAAGCCCAGAAATAAGCCCAGGTCTATATGGGCAACTGATATTTGACAAAGGGGGCAGAAGCATAAAATGGAGCAATAATAGCCTCTTCAACAAATGGTGTTGGGAGAGCTGGACGGCTACATGCAAAAAATTGAAATTGGATCATCAGCTGACACCATACACAAAAATAAACTCAAGATGGATAAAAGACTTAAGTATAAGTCGCAACACCATAAAAGTCCTAGAGGAGAACATTGGCAGGAAACTCTCAGATATCCCACACAGCAATTTTTTCACTGATATGTCTCCTAAAGCAAGGGACACAAAGGAAAGAATAAACAAGTGGCACCTCATCAAAATAAGAAGCTTCTGCATGGCAAAAGAAAACATCAGCAAAATGAAAAGGGAGCCAACCCTATGGGAAAATATATTTGCTAATGATACATCAGATAGAGGTTTGATCTCCAAAATATATAAAGAATTCACTCGACTCCACTCCAAGAAGACAAACGATCCAATCAAAAAATGGGCAAAGGACCTGGGCAGATGCTTTTCCAAGGAGGAGATACAGAGGGCCCAGAGACATTTGAAAGGATGCTCAGCATCACTAGCCATCAGAGAAATCCAGATCAAAACCACCATTAGGTACCACCACACACCGATCAGAATGGCCATCATAAACAGATCAACAAATAACAGGTGCTGGTGAGACTGTGGAGAAAAGGGAACACTAGTACGTTGTTGGTGGGAATGCACACTGGTGCGGCCATTGTGGAAAGTGGTGTGGAATTTGCTCAAAAAGCCAAAAATGGAACTGCCTTTTGATCCAGTGATTCCCCTGCTGGGACTATACCCTAAGAATCCCAAAAAACCAATTCAAAAGAACCTATGCACCCCAATGTTCATAGCAGCACAATTTACAATAGCCAAGTGTTGGAAGCAACCTAAATGCCCATCAGTAGATGACTGGATGAAAAAACTATGGTACGTTTACACAATGGAATACTATGCAGCAGAAAGAAAAAAAGAACTACTAAACTTCGCGACAGCATGGATGGAACTAGAGAGCATTATGCTAAGCAAAATAAGCCGGGGGGCGAAAGACAAACACCAAATGATCTCACCTATAAGTGGAACCTAACCAACAGTACAAAGATGCAAGGAAAATAAGACCAGCAACACTGAAAGGAAAAGAAACCAACAGAGACAAGAGGGAAGGGGCGGGGGTGGGGGAAAAGGAAGGGAAGGGGAAAGTCAAGGAATACATAGCAAGGACTCATAGACAAAACCAAAGGGGAAGAGTTGAGGGAGGGAGGGCGGGAAGGAGGGAGGGGCAAGGGAAAGAGGTGGGGTGTAGGCAGAGACAAATGTATTTGAAAAAATAAATTAATTAAAAACACACACACACACACACACACACACACACAAATTATTAGTACTTGGGTCTCACCCCCAGAAATTCTAATTCAATTGATTTGGGGGAGTGGCTTGAGTATAAGGGATTTGAATGGTTTTCCCAAGTGATTGTAATATGCAACCAAAGCTGAGAATCACTGCTCCATTATACATGTAGCACAGATAGTCAAATCCTTAATACTTAAATCATTCTGCTTAAAACCCTTCATTGTCCTTTCATTGACCTCAAACACTCAGCATTTCTTTCCTATACTGATTATACTCTAGGCACCATTGCATCTTCTGATTCTTCTGACTCATGATGCATCTCTTCATCTACCTTACTCTGTCTTGCTTCTGAATTCAGCTTTCTCCTGTTTCACATACACCATTCCATGTAATGAATCTTGAAAATGGTTAAGTGCATGTTTCTTGTTGGTTATTCTTCTGCAAAGCAATCCTATCCCATCCCTCCATCATAATTTGGATTGGAGGATCCCATTCTTCTACCCAACCCCTACTCCCACTTTGTGGTTAGGACTGTGACCCAGGATTTGAGAATACTCATTCAGTCTCCAGTTCAGAACTAATCAGCACTGTTTCTGATAGTTTTGGGCTGAATATATCAGAATTGTGAACAGCCAGAGTTGAGGAACTATGCCATGTAGAGTCATCTCCAATAGGAGAGAAAGTGACCAATGTATCAAGAAAAAAGAAGTCTTGAGATACAGGTTGCTTCATTTATATGGCCTCACGTAACCCTCACAATAACCCATTAGATTATCCACTGCTTTCTCCATTTGCTGATGAGAAAAGTGAACTCTGGAGAAATAAATAAACTTATACATTACTCTTCCGGTTAGAATTCTATTTCATATGTGAGAAATATTAGCTTATAAAAATCAGTTTCTGAGGTATTTTATAATATGAATTCTCTCCACCCAAGGGTAAGTTTATTAAAAATATTCCAGATCACTATGCAAATACCAGTTTTTAAGAATGTGCATAATTATTTACTAACAAACAGGATACATGTTTGTGTAAAAGGTTAGTAGTAGTGGTTCTTAGCAGATTTATTAAGTGCTTCTGAGTGTTCTTAGCACTGATGGATTATGTCAGTTAACACAATGCTCCCTTGAATATCACCCACAAAAAAAAAAAAATGTGTTTGTGTTTCAAGACAACAATGTAAACATATACAGGATATGCCTAATATTTGGTAACAGGGTTTAAAAATACATGTATGTTTTAACTATTACTTGGTGTATAAAGAATTAATTTTCAGGGAAGAAGAGATGCATGGAGAAACAGAATTTCTCCTGAGGTTATTTTCCTGTGAGAAAACAAACAAACAAACAAACAAACAACAAAAATGCTTCAGTGTTCAGAGCCAGGCTTGTACCTGAGCACATTTCCTGTATATGCTCACTCAGACCATACTATTGATTTTAGTATAAGTAAGATCTAAGATTGCTCATGTGTTCACATTGGCTTAGACCCTGCCTTTGCTTAACTTCCTAGAACCAAATTAAATACCATGGAAAATTCAGCAATTTTTTTCTCAGATCACTAAGGAAGATTTGGTAAGATACTTCTTTAGTGAATGAAATAGCCTCTACTATCCCAAAAGCTTTAATGTAGCTTCTCTAATAGTACCTATTTTGCTCCAAGTTTGTGGATTTAAAACCTGATTGGATGAGTATCTACACTGACCAGAAATCAGGATATGATCAGCCCCAGGCCCAGGGGAATCGTGATTAAAATTAGATACAAAAACTATTGAAATATACTCAGGAGGAAATAGGGTCCATTTGGAGAGGTCACATGATTTGTGTCATGTTAAATATACTTCTGACAATGATGGTGGCCAAAAATGGCCTCTTAGAAAAAGTGTCTTTGAGAAAAAAGAAGGGAAATGGCAATTTCCCAGAATTTCACATGCTATTAATATACAGTTTGTTTACCAAGCAAATTATCATACAGAGAGATAATGTTAGTGAAAGGAAGAATTTAGTCAGTGAATGACTGGTTTGTTACAAAAAAAAAAAATGTAAATTGTGCCAATACTACTGAACTTCAAGACTTAATTATCCCTGGAGCTGCCAATCCTGGAAAATGCACTAAAGACTACTGTGCTGTTTTTGGATGATTTTCTCTTGTCCTTTGAACAGAAAAGGGAGAGGAGAGTCACAGGACCAGGGCCAAGGTTGATTGGTTGTTATCATGACCTTTTGGGAACCACAAGTCTGGAAGATTACTTAACTTTCTCCACTTAAATATTAGGTCTGAAAAATAGTTCTATTTTATATGGTCTAGATGGAAAGAATTAATTCCAGCTCTTTCTAAGTACTTGTGGACATGAGCTTTAGTTATTTGGGGTAGAGTAAATCTACAAAAATATTTGTTTCATTTCAAGTCTGTGGCCGAACCCCACTGGCTGCTTTGGAAAGCCATCTCTGCCTTGTTCTTGGGTCTGCCTCTCCACTCGCTGCAGCCGTCTCCTCCGTGCGCCTTCTCAGTCGCTCCGGACTCTGGCAGCATTTCGCCAGAGTCCTCGAACTCTCGCTTTTTTTTTCTTTTTTAATGTATTTATGTTTTAAATTCACTGCATAGTATCATTAGCGTGCCCACCATGTCAGACACGGCCGTGGATACCAGCTCCGAGATCACCACCAAGGACTTAAAGGAGAAGAAGGAAGCTGTGGAGGAGGCAGAGAATGGAAGAGATGCACCTGCTAATGGCAATGCTAATGAGGAAAATGGGGAGCTGGAGGCTGACGATGAGGTGGATGAAGAAGAGAAAGGAGGAGAGGAGGAGGAAAATGATGGTGATGAAGAGGAGGCAGATGAAAATGAGGAGGCTGAGACAGCTACAATGAAACGGGCAGCTGAAGATGATGAGGATAATGATGTTGATACCACAAAGCACAAGGCCAATGAGGATGACTAGTCAGCAAAAAAGGAAAAGTTAAACTTAAATTTTTTTAAAAAGGCCACCATGACCTATTCATCCTCCACTTCCCCGTCTCAGAATCTAAACGTGGTCACCTTCAAGTAGAGTCCTGCCAGCCCACCGCCGGCAGTGCCACCCACTGATGACATGCGCTCTCCACCACCCAACCAAAACCACAACGAATTTGCACCAGGGGAGGAAAGAAACCAAAACTTCCAAGGCCCTGCCTTTTTTTTTATTTTTTATTAAAAGTAATTTAAAAAGGAAAATGTGTTCTTAATTTTTATTTACGTTTTATATTTTTGTATGTATTGTTAGGGGTCAGCCATTTTTAATGACCTCAGGATGACAAAATCAGCCTTTGGAGCATTCTCTTGTCCTACTTCCGGCTTTCCTTGTGGTGTGACCATGTTCATTATAATCTCAAAAGAGAAAAAAACCTTGTAAAACAAGCAAAACAAAAACAAAAAAAATATCTTATTCCGAGCATTCCGGTAACATTTTGTGTATGTACTTAGCTGTATTATAAGTAGTTAGTTTGTATGAGATGGTTAAAAAGGCCAAAGATAAAAGGTTGCTTTTTTCCCCTTTCTTTGTCTATGCAGTTGCTGTTTTTTATTTATTTATTTATTTATTTATTTATTTGGCCTGTTTGACGTATGGGTGAAACAATGTTGTCCAACAATAAACTGGAATTTTATTTTACTGAGTTGTTCTAATAAAAAAATAAAAAATAAAGTCTATGGCTGAAAGTCTGTTCATTCTCAACCTGCCTCTACTATTAGTGATTCATCAGTTTAGTCCACATGCTTTATTGAGCACCTGTTATGTTCTATTCTCAGTGCTGAGTCCTGCGCTTTTAAAGGTAAATCTTATAAGCAGAGACAAACATGTAAACCTATAAAACCAATAAAGTATTATAGGTAGTCGTATAGAAGTAAGGAAAAAGTGGTCAGTTCTGTTGGGCATGTTCATGAGGCTTCAGAGAGGACTTTTAGGCTGAATCTTAAATGGCAGTAGGTAAGCAGTCATGGAAGTGGTGGGAAGGCAGGAGGAAGAGCACCAAGTGTTGAGTGGTGAACGTGGGAACTAGCCTGGGGACCCGAGGAACTACAAATAGCAAAGTATCATAGCCCAGAAAGAGAGAGAGTTGCAGGAAATTCCAAAGGTCAGGAGGAGGGGATGACAGAGGTTAAAGAAAGAGCAAGATAAAGAAATACCAGATGGTATTAACTTCCTCTGCAGAACTATTGGTAAGCAAGAACATGTATCTTCTCTCTGAACCTCGAGCAGACTTTATGCTTAAAGTGGGGATATATTGACATGTTAAAATTAGTCCGTTTATTTTTATTTTTTATTTTTAAATCATGTTTATTCCATTAGTTGTCTCAAGTTTTCCCCCTTTGCCCTCCTCCACCCATTCCATTCCCACCCCCCACTCCCACAGTTAATTCCTACTCTGTTGTCCATGTCCATGGGTCATTCATACATGTTCATTGTTAGGTCCTTTCTTCTTTACACCATTGTCCTCCTTCCCCATCCCCTCTGGTCATTTTCAGTCTGCTCCATGTTTCCATGCCTGTGGTTTATTTTGTTCATTAGTTTATTTTGTTGAATAGATTCCACTTATAGGTGAGATCATATGGTATTTGTTTTTCACCAATTGGCTTATTTCACTTAGCATAATATTCTCCAGTTCCATACATGTTGTCACAAAAGCTAGGAGTACATTCTTTTTTTTTTAAATGAAGATTGATTTTATTTATTTTTTTAAATATCAAAATCCAGTATAAAATATTAAAACATTTAAATCCATTATAGTCTCAGCAATGAAAACAACATGATACCAGCATAGAAATAATCAAGTAGATTAATGAAATAAAATGAGCATTCTAGAAACAAATGTATGTATCTAACAATGTAATAGATGATTAAATTGGCATTTCAAATCAATGGGGAAAATAAGTCTTATTCAACAAATAAGGTGCATGGACCACTATAACTTGAAATAAAACAAATGTAGAGCCCTATTTCACACATTCTACAAAAAATATTCAGGTGAGTTAAAAATCAATACGTAGAATCTAAGGAGTTTTAGGAGAAAATACAACCTAATATTTTTTTAACCTGAAGTAAAATATTCAAACCCAGAAGCTATAAAGTAAAGTATTGACAATATGACTACATTAAACATTTATAAATACACAGAAATATACATATAAAAATAGTAAAAGGACAAGTAATGGAATAGGAAAGTATCTGCAACACATCTAAAAAAGGGTTAATAGTTTTGAGGGTTATTTTTAGGGAAAAAATTCTACAAACATTTAATCAAAAAATCGATAAAGAATACCAAAAGTCATTTAAAGCTTTTTAAAAATAATAGAAACAGGCAAGAAATATACAAAAGAGGTTTAGTTTCAACAAATAATAAAGTACAATTAAAATAGCACATCATTGTCACAATCAGATTAATAAGTTTTAAAAATATTGGTAATATCAAGTATTGTGAAAGTAAGTGGGTATTCATAGATTCTTTCTTCATCTTCTTAAAGCAGTACATTTAGCATATTTTGCAATGCTGGTTTGGTATAAGTTTATTTGTTTAGCTTTCTTTTGTCTGGGAAACTCCTTATTTTGCCTTCCGCTTTAATTGAGAGTCTTGCTGGGTAGAGCAGTCTTGGTTACAAGCCTTTGCTTCTCATAACTTGGAATATTTATTGCTATTTATTTCTGGCTTGTAGTGTTTCTGTTGAGAAGTAAGCTGCAAGCTGTACCGGTGCTCCCTTATATGTTACTACCTGTTTCTCCCTTGCTGCCTTTAGGATTCTTTCTTTGTCTTTGATATTTGTCATTTTAATGATGATGATGTGTCTTGGAGTGGGCCTCATTGGGTTCCTCTTAAATGGGACCCTCTGTGCATCCTGGACTTGTGTGACTTATTCTCTCCTCAAATGAGGGAAGTTTTCCATTCTTACTTTTTCAAACAGGTTTTCTATCCCTTCCTCCTCTTCTTCTCCTTCTGGTGTCCCTGATATACGGATATTATTATGTTTCAGGTTGTCCTGCATTTCCCTAAACACCTTTTCATTCAGTTGGAGTCTTTTTTCATTTTCTTGCTCTTTCTGGGAGCTTTTTTCTACCTTATCCTCCAGCTCAATGATTCAGTCCTCTGCTTCATCTAGCCTGCTTTTGATTCTTTCTACTGTGCTCTTCAATTCAGAAATTGTATTCTTCATTTCCTCTTGACTCTTATTGATATTTTCTGTGTCCTTTTTGATGCTTATATAGTTTGCAGTAAGTTCCTCGTAGTTTCCCTGAAGTTTTTGGAAATTCTCTCTGAGCTCACTAAGCTCATTGAGCTTCCTTAGAGCTGTTTTTTGGAACTCAATATTGATAGTTTACTTGCCTCTCTTTCACTTCGTTCTCTTTCTGGGGATTCCTCCTTTCCCTTTGACTGGGGGGTGTTTCTTTGTCTTCTCATTATTTGTGAGGCTATTCTTTTTTGCTTCTGCTTCTTAAATTGATCTGTCTTGATTTCCTGACTTTGTGGTGTGAATTTCTATGGTAAATAGAAATGTGGTGAATTTCTGATGATGCCAGATGTTGACCCTATCTGACCTTTGGCAGTCTGTCTGAGACTTCCAGGAATCTCCTGTCTGTGGCTGTCTCCTTCAGCTGTTAATCTAGTCATTCTGCACTCAGCAGGCTGGCTTAGACACCACAGGGCAGGGAAGAGTCCATCCTTGGGGGACAGGGTTATTGGGTCCTCTCACACTGCTGCCGCTCAGGGGAGAAGTCTGCCTGAGCCAGATGGCTGTTGCCATAGGGGGAGGAGTCAGCACCAGGATCCTGCCAGCTACTCTCTCCATTCTCTTCCCCGAAGCTCTGTCACCAGATCTCCTCAAATGTCTCTAGACCACTCTGCACCCCCTTTAGCCAGGCACCTACTATCCATTGCTGCCACTCTGTATTCAGTAGTCAGGCTTCAGCACTACGAGGCCAGGACAACGTCCCTCCTGGGGGTGGAGCTATTGTGTCCTCTCAGGCTGCTGCTACTCAGAGGAGTGGTCTGCCTGAGCAAGACAGCAGTTGCCATATGGAGGATGAGTCAGCATTGGGATCCCGCTGGCTACTCTCTCAGTTCTCTCCCCAAAGCCTCCTTCCCCAGTCTCTCCTCAGGCATCTCTAGCCCACTGTGCCCCCACCTTTCCTGGAGCACAGCATAAGTGGCTGCAAATAAAAATGTATGTATTGGTCCTTTAAATGGCTCTTTGTGTCTCCAGCTGCCTGTCTCTGCAGAGAGTAACCTTGCCACTTTCACAGCTGGCTGTTATCTGTGTACTTTTTCGGCTCTGGTGCTATAGGCTGGAGATCCCTGCTTATGATTTGGATGCCTCTCTTCTCAAGTGGATCCAACTGGCCTTTTCAATATCCTGGCGCTGCCACCCATAGGTGCCCTGCCTGCTTTCTCGAGTCTCTACCACACTCCTTACCAGTTAGGTTGTGCTAATGCTGATTCTTCTGTCTGTCCAAGGTTATAAGGCTCAGTTCAGTTGTTTGTTCCAGGTGATTTCTCCACAATTTACTTGTAATTCCATATTGGTCCTGAGAGGAGGTCAGCGTGACTTGCACTCACTCCTCCACCATCTTGATTCTCCAAGTTAGTCTGTTTCTTGAGGTTCATAAGCCAAAATACATTTCTACTATCTTTTTTTTAATAGATTGTATTTATTTATTTTTACAGAGAGGAGAAGAGAGGAAGAAGGAAAGGAAGAGAAACATCAATCGGTTGCCTTTCATATGTGCCCTGACTGGGAATGGAAATGATGAACTTTTGCTTTGTGGACAGTGCCCAACAAACTGAACCACAATGATCAGGGCCATTTTACTATCTTAAAAGTACAAAACTGATTTTTTTCCCCCTCCACTTTTTCTGTAGCTGTTGGGGTTCTTTACTTGTTAGAGTGACCCAAACTTTTATTTTCAAAGGATCT